TATATATATACACGTATTTATATATATACACATATAAAAGCGCAGCGACCTTACGTAGGTGTAACTGACACACGGGGTGTGGGGGTGGGGGGGTTTCGTGGAAAAGTGCTCCCACATGCGCTTCTCGTGCGCAACTTCTTGCATTCGGAGAACGGCCATTTGCCTTTGCGATTATTATTTTATACATTATACCTACATACCACACGAACATATATATATCATAATATATACGGATCTTCAACCTTTTCTTTCTCTCACCCTTTTTTTTTCTTGTCCTTTTTTTTATCTTATTCACCTTTCACCTTCCATTTAGTTCACACACGTGACATTATAAAAGGTAAACCACGTATTAAGCATTATATAAATTATTGATTTTATCTTCGGTAATCTTTCGAAAGCATATAAGTGCATCGTTTAAATAGAAGCTTACTTTTATTACGAATTATTATTATAGTTTTGTGCATTAAAAAAAAATAGTACATCAGTTCTACTATGGTTTATTTTTATTTTTTTTTGAATATTGCGTAACTAATTGTTTTTTATCGATAAAATACATTTTTAATGGTTTTCTAATAAAACATTCGTTATTATTTTTCTATATTTAATTCGACTATTATTATTCATCGTCTGTTGGATCGTTATTTTAAAAATACAATGTTTCTCGCCCCTTGTGGTTACACATGCTTTGAGCTAAAATTTTTTTCTAATTATTCATAAAAGAACAACAATATTGTTTGTTACAATATTAATTCGAAGAAAAAAAAACAAATGACAAAAAAGATTGAACAAATAACCCGGAATTTGCGATATACTGTGATATTACGATAGCAGCAGGTTGTTTGGTATTGGTTGAATGAAAGGTTCAAATCATTTATGGTATTTGTTTGAAGCTTGGATATCGTTCTATTCGATAATAAACGTGCTGCTGCTGCTGCTGCTGCTGCTGCCGCTGCCGCTGTTGCTGCTACTGCTGCCCTGCTATATCCCAGCAACATCGCGATGGAATTTCAAGCACGATTAAGCTCACAAATGATCGACCCTACTCCCTCCCTTTCACCTTACACCCTACTCTCTATCTCTCTTTCTATCTTTCTCTTTCGATCCTGTTGCACCATGTCGATTGCCGAACGATAATCGTTCCCAATCTAAATGCAATTTTGAGATCAGCCAATTACCAGCAGGACCCGATTTGAAAGCGTCGCGTTTAGTTTATCCTGGATGTTTCTCGTATTGCAAAGTTCAACGAATGCACTCTCTCGATAACAATGCATTCATTTATTATCTTTTACGAACGACCATTCTCGATAAAAATAATATATGTAGATTTATAATATAACGTTCTATTCGTATACTTGATTTGTCACTTTTTAAATCTAAATTAAATGATCCTTTTTTTATAAATAACTTCAATTAACCCTTTGAGTGGTGTATATATAGATATATATATTTATAATATAACGTTTCATATACGTTTCGTATATTTCGATTCGACCCTTTTTAATTATTTATTCAATCAAAATGAAATGAAATGTTTTTCTTTTTATGACTTGAATTAACCATTTAAGTGGTGAATACTTTTAGCCGAAGTGTTTTTTTAGGGACGGAATAGTTTATTATTAGTGCTAAATTGTTTCTAATGTTTATTAATTAGATTCTAGTAATAAATTATATTTCATAATTCATTATAATAAATATATTATATTAATACATTTTCGTGTGGCAAAACTCAAAACAATAATCAATACCGAAAACCAACATTATATTTTACATTCGTATTTGATTAACGCATATATGCGTTCATAACAGTCAAAGGGTTAAAATGTAAACTTGACGAATTAATATTTAGAAAAGATACGTCACGAAAAATTTTGTTTTCTCTTTATGTTTTATCATTATCGTAATCGTCATCTTTATCGTCATATTGTACTAATTATTAAATACATTATATAGAGAATTGTAATAAACAAAAAAAAATTAATAAATTGTTGATTCAACGACCGTTCGTGTAATATATTTAGTATTAACGATGTTGAAACTTGTCCGTTGTAACATGATTATGGTTTCTACGAAATCGTTCGATCCTCATCATCATCATCATCGTTGTCATCCTCGTCTTCGTCTAAATATTTTTTATATATTTTTATTTTATTTATAAATTTCTTTTTCTTCTTTTCCATTTTTTTTTTCCAATCTCGTCCTCGAGAATCATTTTTCACCAAGAAGAGACCAAGAAGAATATAACGAGAATGAATATGAGAAAAAGAGAAAGAGGAGAAGCATTCTCGATACGTTGTTACGAAAACTCGCGATACGTTTAATATTCATATCGAGAACTCGTTCGTTCGTTCGCTTATCCTGGTCTTTACTGTGTATCCTCACT